GTATAAAACCAAAATTTGAGAAATTTAAAGACATTGTGCAGAAGGTACAGAAAACTGAGTACTTGATTGCAAACAGAAAAGGTAAATTGGGAAAACATTTTAAAAAATAGAGAAAATTTATGAAAATTGTAGCAACGACCTAGCATATCAACATGACTACCTGAAAAATTATAATATTTTTTGGAGACTTTGTACTTGTTTGTTGTGCAATGTAATTGTTTGGTACACATACATGTAACTATGTAGTGTTTATGTCAATTGACTCAATAATAAATGTTTTAAATATAAAAAAAACATGAACAGTGGAAATGATCAAGTATCACGTCTAGTGACTACAGTTATTAAAATTATGCTTCAACACATGGCATACAAAAGAATTGTTGTTATATATTTTAATTGATGGAATATGTGATATTGGTTAATTGTTCAGTTGTTTGTTTGAATAGCAACAATACAGGGCAGCAGAAAAATAGCTTTCAGACTCATTAAACTGATAAAAAATGCTGTTTTATGCACTGTGCTATGGAGATGCACTGGTTGCCAGGGAAACCACATTATTTCCTGATTAACGTCTTTAACAGCTCATACTGATGCATAATTAGGCCATTCATTTTTTCTCAATAGTAAAATGTGAGCTAAAAATAGTGATTATAATCAAATTAGCTAACTACGGTAATAAGCATTGATTTAAACTCTCTGACAGACAGCAGTGGCATCTGACCCGATGCCTATGTAACGAGATTTCAACGATACCCACTATCGACGATTTTAGTTAAAGAATCACAGACCTCCTTCTATAGCGCACATGATGACGTCATCGGGCAGAGTCAGGTGACAAACACACTCAAATAAAATGGCAGATTATACCGACGTTAGCGACCGTGAATAACATGGCTTTTCGGTAAGTTTATCATTGTCAAATGCAACGAAAGTCATTTTTATGTTAATATTGTGGCTCGAATGGTTCGACTTTAGATCGTTATTTCGCATAGTTATTCTGGGAGTGACAATTTTGTTTCCACCGGTTCGACCGAACACCAGTGTCTTTTTCCAGTCACCTGCCCTGGAGACGGGTGATGTTTTGTTGACGATCGGGCCAAAATCGTCTACGGTATTGAAGCTGTAAATATTCATCAAATTGTATCAACATTTTGTACATTATACAATAACTCTTTATTAAAGTAATTGAGCTGA